GAATATATAACTAAAAATTAAAATTTTATATTAATAAATAAATAATAATTACTTAAATATTATAAATAAATATAAAAATCATTTTATTTAATTTTATTTTCAATTTTTATTTTATAAATTTTATTATAATTTAATATTTAAATTTAAAATATATTTAAAAATAAAAAAAATCAAAATCAAAATTTATATTTTACTCCCATCTATTTATCTTTTTTACATTTTGTTATTTTATATTCCTTAAAAATTTCAAAATTTGATTAAATATATTTATTATTAAACTTAAAATAAGCATCACTACTAAAATTCTTATTTTCAGCAACTAAGTATCAGTAATATGAAATTGCTTATCAATGATATGAATTTTCACTGACAAGATCCATGTTGCTGATACTTAAATAGTACACATTTTAGCAAAAAGTGTTCTTTACTTTTAGCAACATGATTTTTGTTGCTGAAAATGAATTTCAGCAACAAGAACCATGTTACTAAAATTTTTTGGCTACTGTTTATTTTATGATCGGATGTTGCACCAATTTCATAAATTAATCAGCAACATGGGAGCATGTTGGTGATATGGATTTTTACGGATAAGGCCCACGTTGTTGAAATTTTTTGGTTACTGTTCATGATCGGGTGCTGCATCAATTCCATAAATTAATTAGCAACGTGGGAGCATGTCGGTGATATGGATTTTCACCAACAAGACCCATGTTGTTGATACTTAAATGGTACACTTTCCCTCCAAAAAGTATTATTCACTTTCAACAACATGGTACACTTTCCCTCCAAAAAGTATTATTCACTTTCAACAACATGGTACACTTTCCCTCCAAAAAGTATTATTCACTTTCAACAACATGGTTCTTGTTGCTAAAAGTAAATTTCAGCAATAAGAACCACTTGGCTGAAATTTTCCAATGGACTAGGCCCCTGTTCATTGACCGGTAATTGCACCCATTCCATGGGAACAACCAGCATGAACTTCTAAAGCATTTATTAAGCAGAATCACAAAGCCTGCATGTGTTACATACTAATTTAAGT